CCCCAAAAGTTTCTCAGCGGATTTGGGCAGTACTCAGCAAGTGCAGTACATCCCTTAACTCAGATTTGAAAAAAAATCAGTGGATGGTTGTTTTCTGACTGGTCGGCAGACCGCCGACCGGTCGGCCCTACTGGTCGGCTGCAATACGGTCGGCGGTCGGGGTCGGCGGTCGGCTGGGATGCAACCTTGCTGGCAGGTTAAACAGGTTCTCATCAGTAAGGGCAGCCAACAGGTTCTCATCAGAAAGGGCAGCCAACAGGTTCTCATCAGAAAGGGCAGCCAACAGGTTCTCATCAGAAAGGGCAGCCAACAGGTTCTCATCTGAAAGGGCAACCAACAGGTTCTCATCAGAAAGGGCAGCGATGGGAACCACACTCGAAATCGCAGCCTGGCCTGGTCTGGTTATCCTGGCAGGTCATGTAAGCCATACCCTACAAACTGCGGAGAAACAGGTACTTATGAGAGTGGGCAGCGATGGGAGCGGCACTCAAAATCGCAGCCTGACCTGGTCTGGTTATCCTGGCAAGTTAAACAGGTTCTCATCAGAAAGGGAAGCTGTGTGAGTGGCTCTCGAAATTGCAGCCCGATCTGGTCTGGTTATCGTGGCGATGGGAGTGTTCCTCACAGACAGAGAGGGACTGCGCAGAAATAATGCAGACACGGGTGGACAGACGGGAGGCTACAGTACAAAAGAACTAAGAAAGGATGATGGAGACTGGGTCACATGAGTAACAAAAATCGACCAACGTGCAGAACTCAATGAGAACACGGGGTGCACAGGGGGGGAGGAGGGAGGGGGGGCAGGACCCAGGACCGTGGGAAAAGGAGGAGTTCAGAATGGTATCATGGAACATTATTGGCTTGGCAACGATACCACCGTCGTCACCTGAATAGGACGCCCAGTCATGATATCCGTATTTGGCACAACTTTCGATCCAGATGCAGCGGTAATGACCGGGCGTTCTATTCTGGTGACAACGGTAACCAACCAAGGCAAAAGGGACCATGTGACCAAGCAACTGGACTGGTACTGAACTCATCCACCATACATTCTTTTTTTCTTTTATTACTAAACAGGTCCTGATGGCCATCCACCAGGCATTCTTTGCCTACAAGAAGCACATTTAACTACATTTCAGGAACGCCAAATTATACAAACAGAAATAACCAGGAAAGTGAAATGGGCGAAGAGTGCCCGTACAGTACTAGAGCAGCATATTGGAATGCAGAGGCGAGTCCAGGCCTGGACACGATCTCAGCGGCATCATCCGGAATGGACGGAGCAGTTTGGGAGAAGCAATCCAGATTTGCAACTTAATGACAGAAAAATCTCTCACAGACCATTTAGAACCCAGAGTCCCCATTTTTTTTTCATTTAATAAGAATCGAGAGATGAAGAAAGAAAAAAAGAAAGAAAGAAAGAAAGAAAGAAAGAAAGAAAGGAAGAGAAAGAACCTGGAATCGGCAGGAAAAGCAGTTCACATACTCCAAATTTGATAGTAGCCAACACATCTCAGCCTCCAGAATCAACTACGTCCTGATCTCAACCAGCCTGTAAGGAGCATTGCTATCCACGGGCATAAGCCCCTCCCTGACGTGAAAGGACTAGACTGCAAATTTATCCACCCAGAGATAATCTTGGACAGAACAGCGCTAAGGGCGAAGGGATGCTTGAAAATTAAGGGGTGCTTGAAAATTAACGACTCCATTCTGGAGGTAGACGAGCTAAAACAGGAAATTCTGGAGACCTGCATGAGCCACACCTGAGAACCAAACACTTTCCCTACACTGGTGGAAAAGATAACCACAGCATCCGCAAAAGCCTCACACGTTTTAGCAGTGAAAAGGAAGGCATGAGAACAGGAACGAACTGAAGCTGCTCCAATAGCGGAAAGGAACCTGATCACCCAGCTGGAATGTC